GGTCCCCTGCCACATGCCTTAGGGAGCTTAAGTTCAACCAGTACCACTGGCTCTGACAGGAAGTGGAGACAGAGACTCATGGAGCAGATTTCAGGGACCTCAAGAAACTCAACGTGGCCTCATGTCACCAATTTATACTCGACATTCAACAAACATTTTCTGAGTGACTATTACCTCCGAGGCCCTATGTTATGAATGACTGTTACAATGGACGTGGTTCTGCCTCTAAAACAGATAAGACAAGTTCCTGAATACTTAAAGTAAGGTAGGTTATTTACTGTAAGGTAGGTTACTTACTGAAACCTTATATCCCAAAACTTTAGGGAAAGTCCAGCTTTCAGTGAATGAACATTCTGTCCTAAGGGTCCTACAAGTATTGATTAATCCAAATGTCCTGGTTTATAAATCAGAAAACAGAATCACCCCAACTTTAATACAAAGCTGGATGAGGCAAGTGTCTTTCATGAGGTACAAACAAATGTTGGGGTGAGCAGCACCTGACTGGGCCTCAGAGGAGGCTCCAGGGAGGGTCTGTTGGAGCTGGGCCGTGAACACGGGCAGGGCTTTGCCAGGGAGGGCAGGGAGGAGGAGGACAGATGAGGGGCAGCTGGAAGGCGGCCCCAGAATACTGAACAACTCAGGGCCAGGGCACAGGGCTCAGAGAACTGAAGCACATCAGGGGGTAACTGAGGGCAGGACCACCGCGGGCATGATCAGAAGAAGCCACTGAAGGTCTTTATTGAATGAGGCAGCCTGAGGCAGTAATGAAGGAGTGGGTACGTGGACGGGCTCAGAAGAGAGGAATGAAATGTAGAAGAAGGGGTCAGAGCACTGGAGGTGACACCACTCGAGTGCTGTCGCCTGCAGTTACTCATGTTTGTGGTATGTTACCTAGCAATTAGCACAGTATTTCCGTGTGATGAGTGAGGCATAGGTCTCGGGGGCAGCAGGAGGCCACCAACCCCTCTTCCTTTGCTGAGCTTCAATTTCCTTCGTAGACCATTCCCTCTTTCTTCCATGAGCCCAGGTCTCCCCTACTAACCCCTGGAAGCTGAGATCTATTTCCAAGTGGTTCGTAAGCTCCAAAGTCTTCATCTTTTTTTTTTCTCCTGTGTCAAAACTTACCTGTCCCTTGCCCTATGATCTGAGAGCTAGAGATGTAAACCACGGTTCAATAGTGGTTCTTGGGGGGTGCTTTGGTGGCCCAGTGGTTAAGAATCTGCCTTGTAATGGAGAGGATGCAGGTTTGACCCCTGTTTGGGGAACAAAGATCCCATATACCATGGGGCAACTAGCCTACATGCTCCAGAGCCCCCACGCCATGACTAGAGAGTCCATGTGTGGAAATGAAGTTCTCAAGTGCTGCAGCTAAGACCCAGTGTAACCAAAAAGAAAAAATAATGGTTCTTGGAATGTGGCATGGCTGCTTATGAGTCAAGCGAGGGCCACCTTGCCTGGATAACAGATGCATTTTCAAAGGGAAGATTGGAAACACGGGTAGGTCTTACATCATTTTCTGCTTCATGACTGGTGCAGAGAGGGTGCTGTGGATCACCCAGGCTGTCTGCATCTCAGGCACCTTGGCATGTGGGCGGGAAGGAGAAGACCCTTCAGTCTCCCTGGATTGCCCTGCATGTGGAGGTTTCATCTCTTCTGCCCAAAATAAGCCTCTTCTCTAACCAGGCTATGTCAGGTTGGTGGAAGTTATTCCCATGTCAAGGAGGGAGGTCTACTGTGGGTCATGGTTGACTCTCCACATCCATCTACAATGTACTGACTCTAAGACCAGCTCCATGTGCTCACACTGACATGTCTAACCCATGCAGGAGGAAATCAGGCCCCCAGGCTCTGGGTCATGTAGGGGTGTCTGTGAGCTGTCTGGAAAGATCCAGAAAGAAAGATATCCTGCTTGTCAGCTGTATCTTTGGCTCCCCTTTTTTGTGGATGGTTTATTCTCTCTGCTTCCTTTGTGGCTCAGATGGTGAAGAATCTGTCTGCAATGCAGGAGACCCGGGTTTGATCCTGGGGTTGGGAAGATGCCCTGGAGAAGGGAACGGCAATCCACTCCAGTATTCTTGCCTAGAGAATTCCATGGACAGAGGAGCCTGATGGGTTACAGTCCATGGGATCACAAAGAGTCAGACACAACTGAGCGACTACGCTTTCATGCTTTCACACTTTTATCATCTTTAGGGATTACCAGGTGGCGCTAGTGGTAAAGAACCTGCCTGCTCATGCAGGAGACATAAGAGACGTAGCTTCGAATCCTGAGTTGGGAAGATCCCCTGGAGGAGGGCATGGTGACCCACCCCAGTATTCTTGCTTGGAGAATCCTATGGACAGAGAAGCCTGGCAGGCTACGGTCCATAGGGTCACACAGAGTCAGACATGACTGAAGTGACTTAGCACTATCCTCTTTGGGTTTTTGTAATGGGTGGTCTCATTGTAATTTCTGTGTCCCTGTTTTTGCAAGACAGAGTCGGCCCCACCGTGGACAGACCCCTTTCTCTAGCTGCCATCTTGCCTCCCATGGCTCATGACCCCTGGTTTCCATTTGCTTCTTGGAAGGTCAGCCCAGCCTGTAGACTTGTCTGCAGGTGGAGAATATTCCTCCAGGAGATAATGGTTCTTGTTTGCCATTAGGTTATTGCTTCTGTCTTTCACACAGACTCCACATGTGTGCTTCTATATCATTCATGGTAAGGTCGCTTCTATCTTTCCAGTCTTATTTTACTGTTGTCTCTGCTAGAACAACAGTGGTCTGGAGGGAGCACCACCATTTCATTCTGTTAGCAAAAACCACTCCTGAGCTGTCTTGAATTCTTAAAAGGAACATTATGGAAACCCAGGCATGTCTGGGCAACTCATGAACTGAAGTGGAAAAGCTGTTTGTTCTTCCCCAGAGAGGCCCTCAGTAATGTCCCTTGAGCAACCAGGAGCATGGGTCCCAGGCCACAGGACCCTTATTAGCAGAGACCAGAATGCCTTTGGGAGAACCGTCAGTCCCTCTCGGGGACAGTCTTCCTGTGGAAGTGCTGGCATCAGCTCCTTCTATGTCTTACTTCTCTACTTCTTCCCACCACGCTCACCACTTGCTACCAGATATGTTCCAAAATGTTCTACCCTCTGGGAGCCAGCTTCCTCTAGCCTCATCCTGCAGACTAAATAATTGTCTACATTTTTCAATATATTGTGTTATCCAAAAAGTTCGTGATGGAAAAACCTGAACAAATTTTTTGGTCAACTCAGTATATCTGGAAGTTTTCTAGAACTATCCATGGGCTTTCATCCTTTCTATGCCAGTGTTTAAGTCTTGGCCTTTCTTTGTGATTTCATATTTTGGAAAGTCTAAATTTTAGAGTCTTGGCAGTTACTCAAACACTCATTCATATGTTGTCTCTTTCCTTTGTGGTTCAGCTGTGCAAGCTAGTTTTACCCTATACAGGTGTTCAATGGCAACACATTCTGTTTTTCAGACTAGCTAAGCTTATTAAGCCAGGAATTTCCATAAGACACCAGGTCAGGAGAAGGCCCTTTATTGATGGCATCTCTGTGAACTGTGAGGGTGGCTGTCATTTGCTCTTGGAATCATGGCTGGCATTCCACTCTGTGAAACGTCTTCCACATTTGAAGACAGAAATGGTCAACCGGTATATCTAGATTTATTAGTAGACTTGACAGCTTATCTGATAAGCTAAGTCCTTTCTTTCTTCACCTTGCTTTCCCAACCTTGTAAAAGTCAGCGTGAAGCCAGTTAAGAGGTATAGCTCAGATTCTTGGCTCCCCAATCTCCCCCAATCCCAATGCTGGGAGACAAAAGCAAAAGCAGAGAAATGCACAGATAGATGAATTGATAGAGGCTAGACTTTCTTCAGTGGCAGAACCCACTCTGGACAGACCACAGTGGTCATTAAGTATTCACCTCTGTAAGCAGAGATACTTGATAAAATCAGCAAGCTCTGAAGGGTGACTCTTAGCAACCAAACTTACAAGGGACTGATTTATAAACCTGAGCTTGAATGCCAATTTACTTGGGGAGAGAAGGCTGGTCACTGGCTCAGGCCACTGCCGCCTCCTGGTGGGTAGCATCCTCAGGAGGCCAGTCGTGAGCCCAGAAGTTTCCTGAATGAACACTGGCTTAGAACTAGGTGAGGTGCCTTTAGGTAGGTCAAGACGTGCCCTGTTTCCACACTACAGGTGCTTCGATCTTAGGAAGTGAGTTTTTCACTGAAAATCAGCCCTATTCTGTCAGGCAGCCCTGGGAACACTCACCCTGTCTGTCACCAGGTATGTCTACCTTCTCATTATGATGGAAGACTCGACCTGGTTATTGATGATCACAACTGACAATCACAATTACCTTAGAGCGAGTTTTCAGTTGGATGTTTCTGCGACATTTTGGGAGGGCCTCTCAGCATCTTGGTGAGCTTGAGAAGATACATTTATCTCAGCCTTGCTAACCTAGCTCACGTGTGAGTCTCCCCAGGGGCTTCATGAATGCCCCTACCATCACTATCCGTGGTTGACATTTTCTGACCAGCTCACCAGATCCCAGGATTCAGTGTACTAGAATCAGGGCTTCTAGTTCCCTTTGCATGGACTCTCCTCAGTAAGAAGGCCAGAATCCCAAGCTTCAACAGGTGAAGAAGATGATGATCTTGGTGCTGTCTGCAAATCCAGGCTTCCAGTTCTGGCTCCCCAGTCTCACTGGGCACCTCCTACCAAGTTTCTTGCGTTGCATTTTTAATGGTCATCAGCAGAAGAGGGAACAAAAGCTTAGGAATTCAAGAAGGGAGTAACTCTCAGTCATGCCTGTGTGACTCTCACTGCTTTGCAAGGTTTTCCTGACAACAGGTGTGTCCTTGTGATAAGCTCTCCTTGGGCCACTAAGAAGATGAGAACATATTCTTAGAGTTCACTCAAGGGATGGAGGAATGGATTTGGTCACCGCGTGTGACCTCCATGACATTTAACCTTCCCTCTCACTGTCTCTTTCCCAGATTGTCATTGAAGATATTGGGAACAAAAGAAAATATGATTTTCCTCTTAACCGCTGGCTGGCCTTGGATGAAGATGATGGCAAAATCCAGAGGGATATCTTAGTGGGTGGAGCTGAGACCACAGGTAGGACTGAAGAAAGGGGAGGTGCAAATTAGCTAATATTTCACTTTCTGTCTGAGGGTCGGTGTTCTCATCTGTGGACCTAGAGACTTTCAGTCAAGAGGGAAGCAGTCGTGTCCTCAGACAACATTCCTCCTGCCCTTGAAAGTGCTCTCCACTCCTCTGGGCTGAAGTCTGGGCTCTGCTGACGCCAGAGGAGATGGGGAAGCGCTCCTGAGTAGATGCTGACTTCCCAGGGAGAAGAAGTTATCCATAGGACAGAGCCAGGATGTGAACATGTGTCCATTTACCAGGATCTTGACTCACTCTTCCCTCCTTCTATGAGTGCTTTCTATAAGCCAGGCTTTCTCCAGGCGCCTGACCCATGTCATCTCCTCTAGTCTTCACAGCATCCCTACAGTACGGAACAGCTGTTGTTCCCATTTCACAATAGAGGGAAACTGAGTCACAAGTTAAGGCACCTGTTCAAGGTCACACAGCTGGTAAGTGACAGATCCAGGATTTGGTCTGCTTCCTAAATCTCTTCCCTGTAGCAGTGCCATGCACAACTTGAAACTCCCAGCACGGAAGTTCATAGATGTTCTCGAAGATCGATGTTGGTGAATACGCGCAGCTGAGAATGTGCTCTGGGGCAGACTCTCCCACGGCTCCTGCTGCACACAGGATGGGGCCAAGTTCTGGGGTATCGGACAAAAATTGCTGCATGGCTGGGCTCCAGTTGACTGTTTCAGCAGCATCTTTCAACACCTTCTCCCGCCACTCCTACACACGCTCCCTCTCCCCGCCCCTTCTGCCCACCGTCTACTCTGCCCTGCATCTACAACCCTGCCCCCCACATCTCATCCACACGCCTTCCCTCTCCCTCCTCTGAGCTGCCGGCCTTCCTCTTTCTCTGCCTCTCTCTTTGGAGCATGCTTTCTCCTCAGCCAGTGAGGCCATCTCTCTTCCTTCTCAGAATCCTGCTTCCAGTCACTTCCTCTGGACCCCACCCTCCACCCCCTCTAGGTGGGACCATTTCTCCCTTCTTTTGCTCCAGACATTTTGAGTAGAACTTGATCGCTACTGTTTAGGAAGCCACATATGCTCCTCTGCTCTAGTGCTTTTCTATTTTTCTTCTTTTCATAAAAACATTTTTGTTTATTTACTAGTTGTGCCTGGTCTTCATTGCTGCTCGGGGGCTGCTCTCAGTTGTGATACGAGGGCCTCTCACCGTGGTGACTTTTCTTGTTGCAGGGCATGGGTTCTACAGCGTGTGGGCTTCAGTGGGCCCTTGGCTCTAGAGCACAGCCTCAATAGTGTGACACTTGGGTTTAGCTGCTCCGTGGCACATGGGATCTTCTTGGACCAGGGATCCAACCCTTGTCTCCTGCGTTGGCAGGTGGATTCTTTACCACTGAACCACCAGGGGAACCCTCAGTGTTTCTCAACCTTGGCGTTGCGGTGCCTTGGCCTTACCTGACCACTGTTGGGTGCGTCGTAAGTGCGTTACTAGAGTTTGCCAATCATTTACTTAAAAACATACACTAGGGCTTCCCAGGTGGGTCAGTGGTAGTGAATCCGCCTGTCAAGGCAGGAGACATGGGTTCGATCCCTGATCTGGGAAGATCCCACATGCCTCGGAGCAACTAAGCCAGAATGCCACAATTATTGAGTCTGTGCTCTAGAGCCTGGAAACCACAACTACTGAAGCCCACATGCCCTAGAGCCAGTGCTCCGCAACAAGAGAAGCCGTCGCAATGAGCAGCCCGTGATCACAACTAGAGAGTGGTCCCCCGCTCAAGGCAGCTAGAGAAAAGCCCAGGCAGCAATGAAGACCCAGCACAACCAAGAGTAAAAACAAATAAATAGAAAATCACTGCGTTTTATGCTTGAAGTGGGCATGCGTAAAATATACTGCAATAAAGTTGTTAAAAAAACATACATGAGAGCAGATTTAATATGCCCCCTTAACTGTGTTATTATTACTTGCTTTCAGTGGTAGAGGAGGAGGAGACATGAGTCAGACACTGGGATTGCTCACAGCCTAGGCCGTGGCAGTCTAGAGTGAGAACCTCTCTGGCCACACACTGTAAAGCTGGAGGCCCACTCTTTGAGGGTGGTAGCTATTCCTTTTTATTGTCACATTCTCCCAAGGCCTATTATATAGTAAGCATTCAGTAAATATTTGTTGAGCAAGGAAAGGTGCAAATGCATAAATGAATAATGTGCTATCTCCCAGAGATGTTTTATTTCTCTAAGATGAGGAGATGAAGTTAGGATGAAAGGGAGGTGGAGGACTAGCAAGGTTCAAAGTACCACTTAGACTCCTGGACAGAGTGAAAAAAATGCAGACCCAACCTTAATAGAATTTCCTGTAGTTTCCTGTTCAAATGATTGTCTTTGGTGTTTTCCTTTACCCTCTCTCATCTCGGAGTTTAATCCCCCTTGCTGAGTCTTCTCCAGAACTCTGTGTCCTCACATCGCCTCTGACCAAACCCCAGATGGCTCAGGTCCCTCCCTCAGTCTTCTGACATCGCACCATGTCAGGTGGCCAAGAAGGCCATTGGTGCCCTCTGTTAGAGTTACACTTTTAAGTTATGAGCAAAAGAGCAAGCTCCATGAGTCAGAGAGCCCCGAATATAAATCTCTATTAATCGAGTTGACTATTATAATTAAGTGAGACATAATAGAATTCATCCGGCAGCTATTAATAATATGCACATGGTAATTAGCATTCATAATAAGTACTATTCTGAGCCAACCCAAGCTCTTCTCTTTGGTAGTTTCCTGTAATCATGCCTGACAGCTTCCTGTAACCTGCAGTTTGTTCCTAAAGTCAGATGCCCTGGCACCCCAACTCTGAAAAAGATAAAGTGAGGTGAGGAGGGTACTGGATGTCATCCAGAGGAGGAGGATTTGGGGGGGGATAGAGGTGTATGGCAGAGGTATGGCCAGGTGTGGGAGAAGGTGGGTAGGACATCGTTATCAGCCTGCACTGACCCCTCTCTCTCCCCCTTTTGTTTCCATACCAGCCATCTCATACGTTGTCACTGTCTTCACTGGGGATGTCCGGGGGGCCGGGACCAAATCCAAAATCTACTTGGTCATGTATGGGGCCCGAGGGAATAAGAACAGCGGGAAGATCTTCCTGGAGGGCGGTGTGTTTGACCGTGGCCGCACAGATATCTTCAACATTGAGTTGGCAGTCCTCCTCAGCCCCCTGAGCCGGGTCTCCATTGGACACGGCAATGTGGGCGTCAACAGAGGCTGGTACTGTGAGAAGGTAAGGGAGACCCTGGCCTGATTCAGACACCCTCCTTACTTTGCAGGCTGTTGTTCTGTTGTTTTAGTCACCAAGTCACGTCTGACTCTTTTGTGACCCCATGGAATATAGCCCACCAGGCTCCTCTGTCCATGGGATTTTCCAGGCAAGAATACCGGAGTGGGTGGCCATTTCCTTCTCCAAGGGATCTTCCCAGCCCAGGGACTGAACCAGAGTCTCCTGAATTGGCAGGCAGCTTCTTTACTGCTGACCCTTAACACAGTAAGATGCACTTTACCACTGAGCCACCAGGGAAACCCCTCACTTGCAGCTACAAACTCTAATGTGAATCCTACTTCCTACTGCCTTTGGACGAGTTACAAAGCACATGGGAAATCCCTTTCACGGGGACGCTGGGATGGTAACATGCCCATCTCTCATGTCTAGCTGATGGTCGGGAATGGGGGCTGCTCTGTACATGCAACCAGGGACCAGACACAGGGTAGGCGATCCGGGGTGTTCAGCTGATGGTTATAGTCTGTCCTGATTCCTGATGCAGTGTTCCACTTTAGTTTTTAAATGGCTCCATCAACAAGTATTTTTAAATACATGATTTTAATTGTGGAATACTTATGCTTTAAAGAGTATACATAATAAAAGTAAGATATAGAGAATGATTTAAAAGCTCAAATGTTAATTTTGCCTACCACTTAACTTATAAGAACATTTCCAATGCTTCTGAAACTCCTCTGTGTCTTTCCCCAATCATATAATTCTCTCTCTCTCAAAGAACGTATACTATTAAGAATTTTGTCTAGGTGTATATTGTTGGTTACTGGCAGTTTTCACTCAACATTATGCTTTAGAGATCATCTGAATTGACAGCAGAAGCTGTAGACCATCCCTTTCCCATCTACTCCATTGCATGAATTGATTTCAACTTATTTGTCTATTCTTCTATTCATGGACATTTGGGGGTTGTTTTTTGATTTTTGCTACTATAAACAATACTTCCATGAAGTTATTGTATGTACATCTTTGTACAAATATGCCGGAGCTTCTCAGGATGGAAGTTCTAGGCTGTAAGGTAAGTGAATCCAGTTCTGAAGCTTCATTGTTTCCAAAGAATTCTAGTTTGTTTTCCAAAGTAGTTGCACCATTTTATTCTATCAGCCATTTATATGACATATTTTGTTCCAGACATCCTTGTCAACACTAGATATTGCCTGAATTTTAAATGTGCACCATTTTGGGTGTATAAACTGATCTTCATGTGTTTTTAATTTTTATTTTCATGATTACTACTGAAGTTGAACATCTCTTCATTTCTTTACTGTCCATTCATATTTCTTTTTATGGAAAATGCCTGTTCATGTCTTTTGCTGATTTTTCTGTTGAATAATCTATTGCTGGATTTATTTTCAGGAGTTCTTTATTAAATCCAGATAGTAATTCTTTATTGATAGTATTGTTGTTGTTGTTGTTGTTGTTCGGTCACCAAGTCATGTCCAGCTCTCTGTGACCCCATGAACTGCAGCATACCAGGCTCCCCTGTCCCTCACTATCTTCCTGAGCTTGCTCAAACTCATGTCCATTGAGTCAGTGAAGCCATCCAACCATCTTATCCTCTATTGCCTCCTTCTTCTCTTCCCCTCAGTCTTTCCCAGCATCAGTGTCTTTTCCAATGAATCAACTCTTTGCATCAGGTGGCCAAAGTACTGGAGCTTCAGCTTCAGCATCAGTCCTTCCAATGAATATTCAGGGTTGATTTCCTTAAGGATTGACTGGTTTGATCTCCTTGCAGTCCAATGGACTCCCAAGAGTCTTCTCCAGCACCACATTTTGAAATCATCAATTCTTTGGTGCTCAGCTTTGTTTATGGTTCAACTCTCACATCTGTACATAACTACTGGGAAAACCACAGCTTTCACTATGTGGACTTTTGTTGGTAAATTGATATCTCTGTTTTTTACTACACTGTCTAGGTTTGTCATAGCTTTTCTTCCAAGGAGCAAACGTCTTTTAATTTCATGGCTGCAATTGCCATCTGCAGTGATTTTGGAGCCCCCCAAAATAAAGTCTGTCACTGTTTCCACTTTCTCACCTTCTCTTGGCCATGAAGTGATGGGACTGGATGCCAAGATCTTTGGTTTTTTTTTAATGTGGGGCTAAGCCAGCTTTTTCACTCTTCTCTTTCACCCTGACCAAGAGGCTCTTTAGTTCCTCTTCGATTTCTGCCTTTAGAGTGGTGTCATCTGCGTATCTGAGGTTATTGATATTTCTCCTGGCAATCTTGATTCCAGCTTGTGCTTCATCCAGTCTGACATTTCACATGATGTACTCTGCATATAAGTTAAATAAGCAGGGTGACAATATATAGCCTTGACATACTCCTTTCCCAATTTGGAACCAGTCTGTTGTTCCATGTCCAGTACTAACTGTTGTTTCTTGTCCTGAATACAGGTTTCTCAGGAGGCAAGTAAGGTGGTCTAGTATTGATAGTATTGTTGATAGTATATGTTCAAGTATCTTTGTGTAGCTTGCCATGTTTTTTGAAGGAGAGGAGATTTAAATTAAAAGTAATCTGTCTTATCTTTTCCTTTATGGTTAATGCATTTTGAAAGAAATTTTACTTCTCCTAAAGTTCTAAGGACATTTTCCTACATCCTCTTCTAAAATTTGTAGAGTTTGGTTTTCTTATTTATATGTTTACATCTTTAATATATCAGGCATTGATATTTGAATGAGGTGGGGATCCAACTTTCTCTTTTTCTATATAGATATTTAAATGCCCCACCAACATTTATTGAAGGACTTTAAGAATCACTTGGAATTATTTTTAAAAATAGAATCTTGGGCTCAAACCCAAACCTATTGAGTCAGAATTTCCAGGTAATCTGGGTATTTATACATGCTTTAGGTAATTGTTATCATTAAAGAAGTCTAGGAAACCCTGGATAACTAAGTAATAATACTTTCCCCACTATTCTGAAAGAGCAACTGTCACATGTCAAATTCCCCAAATGTATGATTTGTTTCGGAGCTTTCTAGGCTGTTCCATTTATTGATTTAGTTTATTCCTGCACTAATGCATTACTCACTATCTTCACTTTACACCTTTACACTAAGTCTTGGTATCTGCTAGGGAAAATTTGCCCACTTTATTCTTCTTCATCAGGTATACATTGATCTATCCATGAGCCTTTATCTTCCATAATTTTAGAATCTTTTTGCCAAGTTCCATGAAGAACTGTTGAATAGAATGCAACTGGGTCTGTAAACTTATTTGGAAGAACTGACATTGTTACTCTACTAACTTTTCCTACTTATGATCATATAGTACCCCTTAAAATTTAGGTCTTTAATAATTCTCAGTGTAGTTTTATATTTTTCTTAATAAAGGTCTTGTGTGTCTTTGTAAATATATTCATAGAGACTTTTGTTGCTATTATAAGTGATATCTCTTTAAAAACTGTTTATATATTTTTTTTGCTGGTGTAGACAGACATAGAAGTACTTTTGTATATTAAGTTTACATATAGTTATCTTGCTAAACTCTATTACTAAGACTGATCATTTGTCTATAGTTTTATTGTTAAGAGTTTTTATTCTGAGTTGGTGTTAAACTTTATCTACTGCTTTTTATGTACTTAATTAGATTATCAAATGGTTTTTCTTTTTTATTTATTATGGTGAATTACCAGTTCTTATGGTAGACCAACTCTGAATTTCTATAAGTCAAACTTGGTCATAATGAATTTTAATTTTATGTTTCTGAAATTGATTATCCAACATTTTATACAGAATGTATTATGTATTAATGTCCATGAGTGACATTGGCCCTTGATTTTCCTTTCTCATACAGTCCTTGTGAGATTTGATCTTAGAATAAAATGAGAAGCATTTTTTTCTCCTGAAAGAAGGTATAAAAAAATCCAGTGATCTGGTCAAGATAGTGTGGGATTGTGTGTGCACACCTGTGAGAGAGAGAGAAGAATTACTGATTTAAAAAAAGAAAGTTGGGTTTTTTGTTTTCTTAGTTATAAAATTGGGGCTTCCGAAGTGGCTTAGTGGTAAAAGAACCTGTCTGCAATGCAGGAGATATATGAGTCACAAGTTTGATCCTGGGTTGGGAAGATCCCCTCAAGGAGGAAATGACAACCCACTCCAATATTCTTGCTGGGAAAAATCTCATGGGCAGAGAAGCCTGGCTGTTATAGAATTATTCAAGTTTTCCATTTTCTGTTGAATCTGAATGAGCTATGTTTTTCTTGGAATGCGTGTATTTGTAGACTTCAAATGTCCTGATATAAAGTCATGTACAGTATTCCCTTACCTTTTAACCTCCACTACATCTGTAATTATAATCTTATTTTCATTCCTAACATCATTTATTCAGATATTCTTGCTTTTTTAAAATATAATTCTCATAAAAGTATATTTAGTCCTTTCATATAACCAACATTTTTCTTTGTTTACATTCTATTATATCTTTATTTTCTATTTTATTGTTCTTTATTAGCTCTTCTAAATTTCTCTGGGTTTCAGCTGTTGCTATTTTTTAAATAAATTCTTAAATTGTATTCTTAGTTTATTCAATTTCAGCCTTCTTCTTTTCTCATAGTATAAATGTTGATACTATAATTTTCTCTCAAAGTAGTGCTGTACCTGTGCCTCTCATGTCATATTTCTGCTATCATTCAGTTTGATTTTATTGTTTCACTTTAAAATTCAACTTTGCTGTTATAATTAGCATAAATAAAAATGCATTATTTTGAACTGTACTGCTCTATGAGTTTTAATGAATTCATGTACACTCATGTAACCATTACCAGAATTAATATATGAAATATTTCCGTTACCCAACATGTTCCTTGTTCTCCCTCCCAGTCAGTTTCCACAATTCCAAGCAACCACTGATCCCATTTCAGTCATTAAAGATTAAATCTGTCTTTTCTAGCATTGTCTCATGTGTTAGTACTTCTTTCTTTTTATTGTTAAGTAGTATTCCATTGTAAGGGTATACACATTTTGTTTATTTATTCAACCATTCATGTATGTTTAGGTCATTTCCAGGTTTTTTGTTGCTCTTGCTATTATGAATAAAGTGCTATGAACATTCATGTCCAAGTCTTTTTATGGGCATGTTTGTAATTTTTTTGGGTAAATACCTAAGAGTGGAATTTCTGTATTCTATGGTAAATATACATTTAACTTACAAAAGTCTTTTAGACTATTTTCAAAGTGGCTATACAATTTCGTATGCCCACCAGCATTGTATGAAAATCCCAGTTGTTTTATATCCTCACCATCATTCAGTAATGCCATCTTTAAAATTTTTAGATATTCTTACGGATATGTAACAGAATTTAATTTTGTTTTAATCTACATGCCTCTGATGACCAATTACATTGAACATTATTTTTTCATATGCTTATTAATATTTGTATATCTTCTTTTCCTTTTACCACTTTTAAATTTTTTATCTTTTTATTGTTGAATTATGAGTTCTTTGTGTATTCTTGATACAAGTTCTATGACAGAACTATCTATAGCTATGTATGAATATGTAATATATAATTGTGATAAATAATATGTATTTTATATATGATGTTCAACTCTTTGGGATCCCATGGATGGTAGCCTACCAGACTCCTGTGTCCATGAAATTCTTCAGGCAAGAATACTGGAGTGGGTGGCCATTCCCTTCTCCAGGGGATCTTCCCGACCCAGGGATCAAACCTGGGTCTCCTGCATTGAAGCCAGATTCATTACTATCTGAGCCACCAGGGAAGCCCATGATATATATTATATATAAACAATCTCCCAGTATGTGGGTTGCCTTATCATTTTCATTTTTTTAAATTTATTTTTTATTTGAAGCCAAATTGCTTTAAAATGTGTTGGTTTCTGCCATACAACAACACTAATCAGTCATAATTACACATGTGTGTGCTCAGTTGCTCAGTTGTGTCTGACTCTCTGCAACCCTATGGACTGTAACCTGCCAGGTTCCTCTGTCCATGAGATTCTCCAGGCAAGAACCCTGGAGAGGGTTGCCATGCTCTCCTCCAGGGAATCTCCCCAACCCATGGATCAAACCCACATCTCCTGCACTGTACGCATATCCTTTACCACTGAGCCACCGGGGAAGACCCAGTTTTATATATGCATACCCCCTCTCTTTGGAGCCTCCTTCCCTTCCCCCACTCCCACCCCTCTAGGTCAGGCTGGGCTCCCTGTATTTTACTGCAACTTCCCACTAGCTAGCTATTTTACACATGGTAGTATATACATGTTTAAGCTTTCTCAACTCAACCCACCCAGTCTTTCCCCTGCTGCATCCACAAGTCCATTCTCTACATCTGTGTCTTCATTCCTTCTCTGCAAATAGGTTCATCCGTCCCATTTTCCTAGATTCCATATATATGAGTTAATATACGATACTTGTTTTTTGTCTTTCTGACTGACTTTACTCTGTACGAGAGGCTCAAGATTCATCCAACTCATCACAACTGACTCAAATTCATTCCTTTTCATGGCTAAGTAACATTTCATTGTATATACATACCACTCATCCATTGATGGACATCTAGGTTGCTTCCATGCCCTGGTTATTGTAAACAGTACTGTAGTGAACATTGGGCTACATGTGTATTTTTTTTCATTATGATTTTCTCATGGTATATGCCCAGTAGTGGGGTTGCTGGGTCGTATGGTAATTTATTCCTAGTTTTTAAAGGAATCTCCATTCTGTTCATAATTTGCCTTTTCATTTTCTTAATGTTTTAGAAGAGCAGAAGCTTTTAATATTGATGAAAGGCAATTTATCGATTTTTTCTTCTATGATTTGTGCTTTTTAGGTTCTTATTTGTCATTCCATTTGAAATTTGTTCATTACCCATTATTTATTTTGAAATGTAATTTTTAGGTTCCAAATACATATTGTTTTCTATGTTTTTGTTGTTTATTTCAATATTGTTTTAATCAGGAAACATTAATGATGCTATTTAAGTTTTTGAGATATACTTTACAATGCATTTCAACCTATGCACATGTTCCAAGAGCTGAATTTAAGATTTTGATTTTATTTATAAATTCAGCTCGCTACTTTTGTTATTTGAATCTTCTGTCCCCTTAATAGCATTTTGTCTTTTTGATTTATAAAGACAGATGTGTTGAAATTTCCAATGTCAATGGTAGATATTTAAATTTCTTACTATAGAACTAACAATTTTCACTGTATATGGTTTGAAGCTACATTATGAAATATAGAGCTATTTTAATCTTCTGGTGAATTGAATCTATGCCACAACCCAATCTGATACTATCTTCTTCATAAATTTAGTCCGCTTGTATTTATTATAATGACTGACATGTCCATTTGTGCTGCTTTTACTTTTCCTCCCTTTTTTTGATAAATTGATTGGTTTCCTTGATAGTGATTTGGAAACTATACACTATTTCTGGTTTTTTAGTGGTTACTGTTGAAATGTTAGCATACATACTTACTGTGAAAAGACCTAAATTTAATCACCATCTCTGTTTCTCTCTTAGACAAGTCAAGAATCTCAGAAATTTCTAATGATAATAATCCTGCATCTAGGTTGTATGCTATTTTTGCCTAGTATTTTAGTTCTATTTTAAATTATTTTTAAATCCACACATTATATGTTGTTTTGTAGAGTCATTATTTGCTCAGATTTGCCAGTGTGTTTGCTTGCCAATTCTTCTCGCATTGAAGACCTATTTTCTGGTGTCAGTTTTCTTCTTCCTGCTAAACTTCCTTTAGAAGTTCCTTTGGTTAAATAAGGTCTATCGGTGGTAAACTCCGTTTTAGTTAATCTGAAAATTATTTTCTTTCATTTTCATTCCTGAAAGAAGTTTTGGAATATAGAACTCTAGACTGAATTCTAATTCCCTTATCCCGTAATATCATCTGGCTTCTGTTAGTCCAGTTGTCATCTGTCTTTTTTTCTCTTGATGTTCCTAAGATCCCTGTCTTTGGCATTCTGATGCTTCTCCTCGAAGCAGCTAGGTGTGTCTGGGTTAGATAGACTGCCATGTTCTAAACCTATGATTTCAGAATATGAGTAGAGATGGATAAGGTGTAGGAGAGAAGGTTGAATAGGGATCAAGCCCTGAAGAGGGTAGTTCATTTTTGTATTAAATTATAGATATTAATTATCTTTTATGTGATTGACTTTTTCCACAAGACAAATGTAGGGTATTAATTTAATATTCTAGTTGTTTGGTTCAGACTGAGATTTTAGGATGCACATAAGGAAATATGGTGTTCAAAAACAGTGTGTGTATAGAGAAAAATGTTTGATATTTGTGCTAGTAAATTGGAGCATGGATGATACCTACTTGGGAAGATTTCTTAGAGGAGGTATTTCTATGAGATAGGCTATACTACCCTAAAGGTGGAACTAAGAAGGCTGTTGAACATTGCAAGGAAGTCCCGATCAGGGGACTTGCTGCAGAAGATGTCATCTTCTCCCCCAGGTGGTGATTCTGTGCCCCTTCACTGGCATCCAGCAGACCTTCCCTTGCAGCAACTGGCTGGATGAGAAGAAGGCGGATGGACTGATCGAGAGGCAGCTCTATGAGATGGTGTCTCTCAGGAAGAAGAGATTGAAAAGTAGGTGGAGGGGCCTGGAGCCAACAAAGGCCAGGATGTCAAACCACTGGGTACTCCTGCTTCTCAATTTTCCTCTGGAAAGGAAAGGGTCCCCCAGGGAGCTCAGTTCTCCAAGGTACAGGCCACACAGAGTTATATTCATGGCACCGAGGCTGATACTCCAGCAGCCCCAAATTGATACGCTGCTGTGATGGGCTAGTTGTTGAACTGAATGGTCGAACAGTGAGCTCTCTGAATGTACTGGCCACAGTCTGGGTGGAGTCTATTCTTTCCCCTACTTAAAACTTACTAGCTGACTCTCACCAGGAGACACAGACGTAACGAGTAGACTTTTGGACTCAGTGGGGGAAGGCGAGGGTGGGATGATTTGAGAGAATAACATTGAAACATATTCATTACCATATGTGAAATAGATGACCAGTGTGAGTTCAATACACAGAGCAGGGAACCCAAAGCTGGTGTTCTGGAACAAGCTAGAGGGATAGGGTGGGGAGGGATATGCGAAGGGGGTTCAGGATGAGGGGGTACATGTATACCTATGGCTGATTCATGCTGATGTATGGCAAAACCCACCACAATATTGTAAAGTTTTAATTTTCCAATTAAAATAAAGGAATTAACTTTAAAGAAAGGAACATTAAGGCACACACTTTCAAATAGCAAGGAATCCTTCATTTCCCAAATTTGGTACTTGCTATTATATAATGGGAGAGTGAGACAAACTGCACACAACCTGCATTTCAGTCTTGATCACCTTTGATGTGCTCATTTTCCCCACTGGAAGCATGAAAATCTTTTCACTTTTTTGAGTTTATGATGCAACTGGACCTATCTTTGCAGAATTCCCATGGTCCCTGTGGGTCTGGACGACTGACTTGAAGAAAGCTGGTTCCAACTCTCCCATCTTCATCCAGATTTATGGGCAGAAGGGGCGGACAGATGAGATCCTTCTGAATCCCAACAACAAGTGGTTCAAACCCGGCATAATTGAGAAATTTAGGGTAGGAAGGAAGTGTGATGGGGTGGGATGGAGGAAGGGGTGTAAGATGCGTTTGTCATGGGATTCTGGTTTTCAAACCCAGGTTTGGATCAAGTTTGAAGACAAAAAGGTAAAATAGAGTCCCCAGACCCCTGCAGGAGTGCCACATTTAATCTACAGGCAATGCACTGGGGTGCAAAGATCTGGCCCTTTATCTGAATCAAACAGTTCCAAATCAATCACGGGAGAAGAAGCAAGTATGGAATGGCTTTGGACATCCAGGAGCCTGGTGACTTGGGGAATCACTGTAGAACAGAGACCCTGAGCACAGTTAGGGTCAAAGAGCCCAACCTGGACTGAATTAGAGTGAGCAGCCAATTTAAGGGAAAGTATACATTTTAGAACAGTTAAAAATAAGTTCAGCTTTAAATTTTCAATATGTATACAAGTAGAGCAAGGCTTGTTTTGCCAATGGAAGTGCTGCTCTGACCTTTAGGTAAGAATAATTTTGTCATTTGCGGCTCTCTTTTCGGAGCACCCTGTTGGAGCTTCTATTATACCTTCAGTTCATTGCTCGTTATGTATTTGTCTTCTCAGTTAGACTTTGAGCCCCTGGGAGAGGGCATGACCACTGTATTGATCTTTTTGTCTGTTTCAGTGCCCAGCAGAGTCCTGGGGCTGTGGGCCTGTGTTAATTTGCAGGGCTGCCATATAGATTTTGTAACTGAAAGCTTATCATTTGGAAGATTTCCTTTAGTCAGGATCCTACTGTGGGTCAGTTATTTTTGTTCAGTTTCACCAGCCCTGGCTGAACCCTAGATCTGCAGCTGTCTCGCCCTCATGTGCCATTGGTTAAAGGAGCACAAGAAGATAGAGTATATGAGGGTGGTTTGAAGTAAACCCTACCTTGATGCTGAAAAAACAACTCAAAGCAGATGCCCTCCTGGCAGGGGCTCAGCTATGAGGATAAATTCATTTCACTTGATTCTGTCCATTCAAACCTTGATATTTCTCACCATAGATTGAGCTCCCAGACCTTGGCAGGTTTTATAAGATTCGAGCATGGCATGATAAAAGGAATCCTGGTTCTGGATGGCATTTAGAAAAGGTGAGATGACCATTTTGGGGTTGGAAGGTGATTGGGAGAGGAATCAACATGGTTTCTTTCTAATGACCTTGTCTTATTAGTTTGCCTTTGTCTGTTGGGAGTGTGGATGGGGAAGGGTTACAGTGAGACCTAAAATTGGACACACGACACATGGAATTCCTGATGAGGACAGGACTTCCAAAGTAGGCTAAAAAGATGCTTAGGTTTCAAGAGACTTGCCTTGTGTCCCAGTCACCTGGCTGCCAGCCAACTGTGGGTCTCCGGGGACCAGAGAGATAAATATTAATCTGGCACTCCATCTTCCACAAGAGTCCTCCCTGGGGGGATGGCCTTGTCCACCTTGAGATGAACTAGCAGAACAGGAACCTCAAGGCATGGATGAATATCTCTAGTACACCCACTTGCTCACCCTAGGATTTCATTCCAGATGACCCTGATGAACACTCTGACCAAGGACAAGTATAACTTCAACTGCAATCGCTGGCTGGATGCCAATGAGGATGACAATGAGATCGTTAGGGAAATGACTGCTGAAGGCCCAACAGTACGGAGGATAATGGGCAGTAAGTACTGACGGGCTCTTTTCCTGGGGGAGGTAGTGGAATGGGGGTGTGTGTGCCAATAGGAGTCTGACTCATGAGTTGTAGTCTTGTCCGCTATGCATCACCAGGCTCCCTCTGAATGAGGAATGAGTTTGTAAGATCCTATACTCAAGATAGGCTTGTAGGAACCATCTCCAAGACATGAAGCTAAAGCTCTATGAGGATGGGTATGGGTGAGAAGGGGGAGATTTCTGCATCTTCAGGTTGGCTATGAGACGACGTGAAGAATCCACACTGAACAATATTTCTCCAGACACTCCCTGAAATTAAAGGAAGCATCCTCTTCAAATTATTTATGAGATGCTCTTCAAAAAAGGAAGGCTGGATCTGGGTTCTTACAGCCATACTTGGCTGCTCCCTTATGAATCCTCTATTTCTATCTGAGGCTAGTAGGACAGAGCTGAGCTTTTAATCTGGAGTCATCCACAGTCAAAGAGGTAAGTGAGACCATTTTGCCTCTAGGTTGTACCACCAGAATGCTGGCAAATACATGGCATATGTCCTATCCTTTTCCCTTGGCAGACATTACTGAGCAATCACATCATTCTTTCCCATTGAGTCTGAAGTGAGCTTTATGGCCCTCAATATGGCACTGCAAGCAAATATTAGCAATTTATCAGAATTAGCACTTAAGATAATTAAGTGCAAAATTAATTTGAAAAATTGTAGAAAGTTAAGACTATATAGAAAACAACATCACCCATCGTTCTTGAAGTCCTTCTTAGTATTTGGATAATGTCACTTCTCAGGCATTTGCACATCCAGTAGCAGATCTCTGTCTCTCTCTATATATATGTAAAGAGGGATCACCCTGTTAGTTCAATTAGGCAATGCTTGCAATTAGTACTATTTTAGGATTCTTCTTCAATTTTAATTAAAATATATGACTATGGAATATTTGTGTTCAAAGGTCCTTAGAATAGCTTGATGCAGATAAGGAAACTGAGGCAGTTCTTACCCTGATTATACAGTTAGAGGCAGAGTGGGAGCTAGAACAAGGTCTCTTACCTTGTCAGTGACCATACTTGGCCTTTTCACAGTAGTATTTTCTTTGGCAGCAAGGCAGTCATCTCCCTGAAAATATGATAAATAATATGATCCCTGCTCAGCCCCCAATTAGGACTCTATATAAAATGTAGCCCAAGGCAGAAATATACCTACTGTTACCTGGCCTGCCCTCTTTATGTGCCAGAATTGAGCCTGTAGATATGAACAATTGAGGACAGGGTCTTGAGATCTGTTTTCTAAATCCTTCCAACCAGTCCTCGTGAGATTAGCTCCTCACTCCCTATTTCTGAAGTTACCTGGTGCTGTCATTCCTGAGACTTTTTGCAAGGTTGCTTCATGAATTTCACAACTGACTGCTCTAATCAATTCTCTCCGTCTGTTAAGTCATGGGACCTCAAACTTCAGCATTATCACCTAGAGTGCTTCTTGAAACACAGATTGCTGTGCCCCACCCATGGATTTTCTATTTCAGTAGGTCTGGGGTGGGGAGCTCAGGAATTTGTTTATCTAACAAATTGCTAGGGGTCTTGGTGAGGACCCACTGTGCTAAGGCATCAGTCACTTTTCTAGCTGCGCTCCAGCTTCTGAGATTTGGTTGCTGTTGTCTGTATTCAACCCTCTCCTCGGGCTTTCTTGGTGACAATTTTGTGTTTGGTTAAATCTTTAAAATACCAGTGTGCTGTCATTCTAATGAGATTTTTTTTTTTTTTTTTTCTTCAGAAAGAAAGATGCCACTTTTACTTAAATGCCCAGGCTGTTCTTTTACCTCCATCTCTTCCTTACCTTGACTAAAGCACGACTCCCCTTCTCCCAAAGCCCAGTTTTCTGTCCTCACAGCTGTGGGACTAGTGAGAGGGGACGTTCTCCTGACTTTCCGCACTTCCAGCCTCAAAGCTCACACTGCTCATAGGGGGCCTCTGTCCCAGCTCATTTGCATTTTCTGTTGTTCACGTTCCTCTTTTGCATTGTGTTCCCTGGTCATTCTCTAGATTCCTCACTTCTACCACTGTTCTAGAATAGCAAATTAGTCTGCTTGGGCTGCTGTAACAAAATACCATAGACTGGGGTTTTGAAACAATGAAAAATTATTTTCTCATAGTTCTGGAAGCTGAAGTTCAAGATCAAGATGTTGGCAGGTTGGCTTTCTCCTGAGATCTCTCTCCTTGCCTTGGAATTGACCATCTTCTCACATGATCTCTTCTCTGTTTGTGCTCCTATCTGTGTCCTAGTCTCTTCTTATAAGGACACCCATCATACTGGATGAAGGTCCACACATATGACCTCATTTTATCTCATCTACCTCTTAAAACGTCCAACACCCAAAAACAATCACATTCTGAGGTCCTGGGGGTTGTGACTTTGTCTTATTGATCCTGTTCATGAAGCGAATTGTCTCGATGTATCTCACCGTGCACACTGTTCGCTGAACCCAGGGTAGGCAAGGCTGGAGCTAAGAGACGGGAGAAGACTCGAGGAACCGTAGGAACTGGAGACATGTCTATTCTCTCCTGGCTGGCATGGCAGCTGTAGCAACAGATACAACATAACCCAATGTAACCACACCCAACCCTTCAGGGCCTTTCCTGGTGAAGCTCATATAGGCCTACCGCACGAAGTAGCCTGTGACCAAGTTGAGTACCCCGTGACGCGCATGTGCAGTGCTATAAATGGTCTCGGCTGTTACACAGCCGTGCAAAGTCATTGTTTACAGAACATGGGGCCAGAGGGCAGGAGAGCCTGGCGGGGGGAGGGGGAAAATGAGACAGCCTGACTGGCGCCATCTTGTTTATTTCCCCACAGACTTCAACATATGGATTTGAGGGGGACACAATTCAGCCTGCATCAGATAGTATCTCTCAAAGTGTGGTCAAGGGCCCATTTATATCAAAATTTCCCAGAGCGTTTGTTAAAACGAAGATTCCTGGGCCCAATCTCAGATAATACCGACTAGACTCTCTGAGGACTATGCCTGGTAATCTGTATTTTTATCAAGCACACCAAGTAATTTTTGCACATATCACAACTTGTTCCACTTCATCAATGTCCAAATGGAAAATCCATTCATCCACATGCCAGTCCTCGTCCACTTTGCTGCCCTTCACCTCCCTCCCATGCAACTAGCCACTCCTCAGTACCTCACTGGGGCTCATCCCACAAAGCTGCTCCTCTGAGCTCTGACTCAGTCTCCACCTCCAGCTCGGGCTCCTGAGCTCCTCAGCTGCTCATGACCTTGATGACACACACACCACCCTTCAACTTGAACTCCACCCAGTTCCTTCTTCCCTACATTTCTCCTGCTCTGTCAAGGACTTGTGGGTGTGTGGAGGATATGTTTTAGGGACAGGCCTTTAAGAAATTATCCAGTGGGGAGAAGAAGCGATCTTGAAATTGGGCAAGGACCAAGTCGACTACAGAAGAAAACATAAATTCAAGAAATACTTCACAGGTGGAACTGGCAGGATCTGAATGAAGGCTGTGGACACAGTGGGGAGATGAGCTTCCTGCTGAGGAAGCTGGGAGCTGGAAGTAGGGATTTGAAACATTAGAAGAGATCATGGTAGGAGGGGTGGGGAGGAGGAGCATTCTCATAGGTTACATACAAAAATGCACTTGTTTGTTTTTGCCTTCTGCGATACTATTACAAGGCAATAGCAATTTAAAAAATTCTCTAATGACTAGTATTGGATTGAAGTGAACTAAGTCGAGACCTGGCACCCTTCACTGGAGCGCTTGCACCTCTAGCAACATAATACAAGGAAGCTACAGGGGACTAAAAATAACTGCACAGATACAGCAGTTGGGGCAATTATGAACCATAGATACAAAAGGACCACAAACCAACTGCCATTTCTGAATAGCAGGGAGCAAAAGCAGAATACTGCACATGACCCCTGCACACAGCACCACCAACGGGGTGGGCAGGCCACTGAAGCCACTCCTCCAATCAGAGCCACCAATCTGCCACTACCCTCATCCCGCTTAAGGAACCAGCTTGCCCTCCTCAGAGAGCGAGCAAGGGCACTTGTAAAGCCTTGCCTGAATTTCTTTTCTGGCCTGTCACCAATTTCTATTGATTAAAGAGTCCCAGGACCTGGGTTCGTAACAGAAGAGCTGTTTGTTCTGGCTATAAAGGCATTTTAATGTCGTCTGGGGGTCCTGGGCAGTACTTTGGAGCCCATACCAACTTGAATTTCCTTCCCTCAATGGTTCTTTTCAGCCCACATAAATTTCTCTTGTTCTTGGAACATACCCATGTCCTCACTCACCTCTAGAGGAACTCAGATCTCCTCTTCTGGTCTGGATGCTTCTTTGTAACAGTAAACAGAGGTGGTGGCAATGTCTCACTCCCCCAGTTGGTACCCTGATCTAGTGAATAGTATGCAGGGCTTCCTGGAAATCCCTTGGGGAGAGCCTCGGGCTCATGTAAGATGAGTAAATACCAATTTAAAAGCAATTCTGTAGGTTTGAATCTGCGTGCTCCAAGTTTACTTAAAAAACAAGGGCCAGTCAAACAAGAAATTAACACCATGTCTGAGAGCCAGGATGCCACCGGGGGTGATCGCGCTGCTTAAGGCAGACCAGGAAACAGGGATAAAATACTCACCAGCCCACAATTTATTTCCACCTTGCCTTTCCCCCAGGAGCTATGTGAGATAGTAAAACTGATGAGATTAGCATTCTCCAGTGCGTGCCCAGCAGAAGTGATTTTGTACTACTGATGAGCGGGCAAGAGACCACTGGACTCAAGTGCTGAAAATTGTAGCTTCTTGCTAATCAGGCTGAGCTGTAATTTTAAAATTAAAGTACAAGAGGCTCCAGTACTTACTGTCTGTTTGAAGTCTTTCACTGCTGATAACTCACAGTTAAAATCATCTTTAATTGCCCACAGGCTTCTTGCCAGGAAGGAGCTTGAAACCTTAGTGGCAGGTGGGCTGGGAGGGCCCCCTCCCCTA